TCGAGCATGCGAATCCGGATTGATTTCGGTACCACTTAGTAGACCAGTGTCCACATAGCGTTCCCAGTTGACGGATACACCTTCTGTCGGACTGATTGAACCGATATACGCATGCAATCGGGGACAGAGTTCGGGCAAAGAAACTGTGGGTAGCTGATCTCCATCATTCACTGTGTCTCCGATCTCCGTAACCGGTTCCCTATCAAGAGCTTGTACGGTGTTTTTGTAAATCTGTCCACGGAACAGTTGAGATGCAACCAAACGGCAAGGTTTTGTTGGTCCACTCTCACCGAACTGATTCCAACAGAATACACGAAGTTCGATTGCCTGATTGTTCAATGACACCGCTGCATTAGCCGATTCTCCCGTTCGTTTCAAATCGTCCATCAACATTGTAACAATTTCATTTGGTAGACGAAAACCATTATCTGGATCAGTGACATCATCTTCCAGCAGTTGCCAAATACCTCCACGGCCTCGACGCCATTCGATGCGGTAAACTGGATCTAGGCCACTGACACACGAAGAACAATACTCAGGCATGTAGGCCGGTTTCCAGTACATCATCAAACCAAACTGAGAGGCATTGAATCGACCCGACACGGGATCCGTAGTTGGACGGATTAAAGCCACCCACGGAGGAGTGAAATCAATATTTGGAGCCAGGCTGCTTGGATCAAGATGAGTGATCGAGATCGGTGATGGACTAGATTCACCAAATTTGTTCACAGCCACCACACGAATTGCTGAACTAACACCAGGTCGAAGATGATGAACATATGTTTGCCCATGAATGTCCTTGGCAACTCTTCGCCATTCCGCACGTGCTCCTTCACGTACCTCCACGGCGTAAGAGACTGTTCCGAGCATGGCGGTTGGTGTGATCACCTGATCGCCCAACATTTGCGCCTCGGTTACTGATGGAGTGGCTGCGGGCCATCGGATCATGACTGAAGCAGCATCTTCAAACTCAACTTCCGGTCGAATGTCCGGAAGCACGGGAAGACAGGCTCGAATCGGGATTCGAATCGGCGTGGAAGCCGGCCCCAGACCATATTCATTCTG